GAACTCTAACTGAAGATTTCAAAAATAACACTTTTGGCTGAACTGGATAATAATAATAATAATAATAATAATAATAATAATAATAATAATAATAATAATAAATAATAATAAAGGCATTTCAAATAAAGCTATTAAATTTTTATTGCCTTTTTTGCACAACCTATTTGTTAAACAAGGGTTTTCTTCCATGTTATATTTGAAAAATAAACACGGAACAAAATTAAAAGTGGATCCTAAATGATAGTTAAAAGTAAGTGAAATAAGACCACACATAAAGAAATACATACTCTCTTAAACAGGCCCAAATTTAACACTAAATTTTAGAATTAAAGTATTATAACCTAAATTTTGATCATTAAAATGGTAACCCATTTTTAATCAAATATTTTGTATGCGTGCATATTTAATACAAATAGTCAGCAGGTTGTGCAAATGGCATATATATATATATATATATTTCTATTGACAAATTAAAAAATAATGATTGTAAAATAATGAGTGGTGGCACTAAAGGTTTAAAAAAAATTTTTTTTGATAGTACGTGTTAGTTAAAAGGTTGAGAACCGCTGATTTAGACGAGTACGAATGAAAAAAAAAGTTTATAAGAAAAGAAAATAAAAATAATTTATCCCAATCCAATAAATATATCGTACACATTCATATACTTTAATTCAACAACATGTGAACACATCATTTTTCTAATATATACGTTTTAAGTAATATGTTGTAGGGATTTATATTTATTTTAACTAACAATTTAAAGTTTAAGTTTAGACTTTCCTATAAGCCTTCATTCCTCTAATTGTCAGCGACAAAATAGTTAAATGTTGTAGCGCGCGTGACGGAATGCAAATTTACTACTTTGAAGGAAGCATTTAAAAGCCGAGTTTCGGTAGGAGAAAAAGAGAGTTAGACTCTAGCTGCCGTCTCTGCCGTAAGTACGTTTGCTTATTGCTGGTTCAAGTGGTTTAATTGCATTTATCTGCTGCCACTAGCTTCAAAAGGGGTTTAAGTTACGAGATCTCGCTGAGCCCTGTAGGCTAGTTTTATCACTTGTTAATATCAGTTTTAGTTTCAATTATCTGACTTTGAGTTACCGCCCGAGTAGAGGTGAAGTTTGTTAGCGCCGAGTTGACGCATTGTAAATTTTGAAAGAATTAATAAAAGGGTACTTTAACCCTTTTCTTGTGTAGTTTCCTGCTACTCCAGTTTTCATAAAGCAATTTATATACTGGACTCTATAATGTTATCATATTTTAGACTTTTATTTAACAAAGATACAACTTATGAAAACTAAAAGAAAGTAGATGCTTAGTATATATTTTACTCTTCTTTGCTTACTCCCCGAATCACTGTTTAGCCGTAACCAAGTGCTTCACTTTTGTAAACATATTAAGCACTTTTGAGATGTTATGTCTGAAAGCAAGTAATATTTTTCTTTAGAGCTACTTAACTATATGTATATTATGTAACTGCAATTATGTAACTTTCTCTTTCGCTTCTTAATAATAAAACATGCTATAACGAGTCCAGCGGTCGCTGTGACGGAATTTCGCTTAATATACTCACGTCAACTGGGAGCTTTCAAATCGGTCTTTGTAATGGCAATATCGCTATAATAAACAGCCTCTAAAAAGTGTATAATGATCGTTGGAATAAAGGAAGGTGAATGAAAAATAAAATCTCTTCGCTTGCATTACAGTAAATTTGGATTCTGAAGTAATGCAGGGATAATTTTAAAGAAACTACGAATTAGAAATTATACAAATTTAAGTCCTGGGATGCGTGAAGTTCATAGGTCTGAGCTCACTGAAGTTTTTGAAGCGTAACTAAAGCAATTTTTTTTTTTTCTATTTTTATTAATAACTAAATTTTGCTCTTCTAACGTTTGATTCGTGTCTCTGACTCAACCGAAGAGGCAATACTTAAAATAGACAAACGATTATTCTGTACTGAAGTGAATAAATAATGCATCGCATTAGAAATATTTTCACTTAGAATGGAGCAAGCATTCATAAAAATTATAAATCTTCGGTATTCTATATATCATGCGAATTAGATGTATTATAAATTAAAATTCATTACAGAGATAAACAAAAATAAAACATAAGTTACTAAAGAGTTCCGTGCATTTCTGTTAAGCTACTCAGTAACTCAATCGATATTTAGTTTTAGTTTGAAAGGCAGATGAAGATCTAACGCAACTTCAGCTGACAACATCTTCGAGAATTGACTGTTTTCTAGACCTGGTAGAAGGAGAGTAGGTGCTAGGCTTCATGCCGCTCCGTACAGTGTCTGGGGTTCATAAATTGTGCCGCCTAGTACCTTAGCGCCGGCTCTGCAGGAAAGATAAATGTCTCGTTTGTTTGATTATAGCAAAGCACACAGGGGTTATCTGCTTAAGGGAAGAGATGTGTTCCTGGAGGACTTTCTGAAGAAAACTTGCTCGCATCCACGTTACACATGGGGAAAAGCACAAAAACGCCCATGCAGCTGGTCCCTTCGCAGAGATTGGAACCCGGATCGAACTACTAGTGTTGAAACTTACCGCTCGGCCGCAATTAAGACTGGGAAGGTAAATGGAAGATTTTATGTCTCGTAGAATGGCAACATTTAGCAGGTTACGTAAATGATAAATGACACTACTTTGACAACATTTCGCAACTTAAAGCAATCGAACGTGAAAAAGCGGAAAACTATATCGTACTCATTTCTAAAGAAATAATAATAAGCAGAAGAAGAAACTATAAACTTTAGTCTTAAGATCAATAAAAAAAGAGATTAAGTAGTTCATTGAAATGAAGATACAGACAAAGACATCAGATTGATCTATGTGTTAGAAGTTGATGAGTGTTAAATCCAAGCACTTAGTAGAAAGCTTTCTTTCCCAATCCCACAACTCCGACGTAATCTCCCCAAATGGTCCTCTCGAGAAAAGGGAAGATTAGCTAGGAGCAGAAGCCAGCTGTTCAGTTACAGCACCCGAATGCTGAAATAATGCTTGGATCATGACACATACACTGAAGGCAGTAAAATGAAATACAGACCGTAAGGAGGTTTATGAAGGTAAAAAAATTTACAGAAATTCTTTTGAGTTACTAAAAATAATGTTCACACGGTACTACATTTCCAAGCATTCTAAGCCCCAATTAACGAGCTTCTAAATTTAATTTAAAGCGAACCGTTATGCGGTAAAATTTGAGAAATGCCATAAAATACATAATTTATGTTCTGAATATAATAATCTAAACGTAGATCGTAGATCTCTGCTGAATATTTCATCTCTGTTCTTAGACAAAATAAGTTTTTGCTAATGGCCGTACCTTATTCCACCTAATTTTCAAACTGTTTTTGCAAAATTTTCGTGTTGCAATTTCAACGGTTGTAAGTTATTTCGTTTTAGCTAAAGTTTACTCCACTTTATTTTTTATTTACATTCAGAATTTAAATTGCCCCGAGCCCGGCTCCGGTACTTCTTTTTTGAGATTTTTTAGAGTACTATTTTTTTTTTTAAATAACTGAACTGCAATATCAGCAGAAAACTCTTTTGGCTTCAAAAATTCATTTTAATAATAAGTAAGCTTTAAAAATTGATTCTGATTTCTGAATATATGTCTCTCTTTCCGTGGGAAATAAACTCTTAGATATCCAACTTAGGACTTTTAAGGAAAGAAGAGCCTCCACCTACTTGTCAATTATTAATTATTTTATTATTAATTGTTTTTTTATTCAGGAAGTGCAATGAATTTACGAGGGTGGGTAAATAGCCAACGCTAGTAAAAAAAAAAAAAAAAAAAAAGGAAACGAAAAAAGAGTACCTGCAGCCTTTTTGGAAAGATATGACCAAATATGGGGGCATATATTCACTTGTACTGAAGCTTACGTTTGTTCTCAGCTAGTCCTCGGATTCGAGGAAACTAACTCTCCCCTGCTTGACAGCTAAAATTTCGTCGGCAGGGGTAGCGGTCAGAAAGTGTTGAACTCTTCTCTCCTTGTTTTCCCACTTACACACCCTTCGACAAAATTTCCTCCATACTGAGGTAGTACTTGCAGCATTCTTTCATTTTCATTAGTGACGCTTTAATCGTTTTGCTATTTTCATAGATGCCCTCGAAAAGAATAAACTATATTTCTACCATTCCTTAAAATAGCACTATCTTCATCGCTAAATTCTGCAAAATCCCAGTTGAGCTATTTCTTACTTTTGAGTTTTTTTTTTTTTCTTACTTTTGAATTTACTTCCAGTCGGAGCTCCAAATAAGAGAAGGCCCAATATTTTATTTTATTATTTAATTACTTATTAAATTTTTATGTATCTCTTTATATTTTATTGAATTTTACGTTTACTTATTCAGTTACTTTAATGATAAAATTATTTTAATTAATAATTACATTATTATTTTGCTATTTTATTTATTGATTTATTTTCCTCTTTCCTGACAGCCTTCCATAGAGCTCCGGTTAGAAATTCAGCCCTGCTTATGCTGATTCCTTCTTCCTGCGAACAGGTGTTTAAATAATTATGCTTTTTATAATTTTGAAGACTCAAAGTTTTAAACTTTTTTCTTATATTATCAACATCATATTTTAATGCATGCAATTCATTTTTCGTTCTAATCGTTACCAAATTAGATTGCATAGTTTAAGGGATCAAGGTTGTTACTTTTACACGATTGTTATGTTTACACGATTGAATGGCTGATTAATTGTGAAAAGTCCCAGGAGGTTTGCAAGCCTAAGAGAAGGGATGTCATCGTGGATGACTTCTAAGTAAACACGCTTGTATTCAAATTACTAACGTAAAGCACAAAATCGTACCGCAGTTATCCTGTTCATGGTGATCTAAAGCTGAACATAATATTAACTAACTTAATTACTCAGCCACTTATGAAATTACTTTTAGCCATTTACTTTATTATATATATATAAATTATGTGTGTGAGAGTGAGAGAGAGAAAAAGAGAGGGAAAGAGATATAAGACGTAAAAGAAAATTATTACCTTTAATTTTATTTGAAGTAGACTTTTTTATTCTCCATTTAATTTGGCTCTCTCCCCTTTCTGTCCTAAAAGTAGAGAAATTGTTTATAAAAATTTTTGTGCACTGTATTTTTACAAATTAATCCATTTCATGCTTACTTATGTAATTCTTCATTGCGGATAGCTTTTATTCAAATTAAAGAAATTTTTTTTCCTATCGGGTTTGCATGCATGCATATCGGACGCTTCTAAATGCGCGTCCCCTTATTTGGTCTACTTCGCTTATACGCGTCACTTGCATCTGCTGTCTGTCATCTATTGTTGGAAAATGTAAGCTTTCAGAAACTGCGTGGGTGCATATCGCACCTATAATGATGTGTGAATCAAATATTGCGTCTCCAGAATTTTTCTATCCAGTAATAAAATTACGTTGAATTTGGCCACGTCTATCTGCAAGTCCACCATTCTATCTACGCATTAAAGCAACTCCAAGTTATTAAGATGCAGATAAATATCAACTTTTAACATTTCTCTCTCCAATTATTTATTGCAATAAGTCCACAAAAGGACTGAAAACTATGTTTGAAGTGTGTGCTATAGGAAATTATTTTCACTCCTAATTTTCCATAGCGACATTTGCATTACAAATTGATATTTTTCTTAATATACTGAATTAAAAAAATGTTTCACTGTTTTATGAAGGTATCAGACTAAAATTTTGTGGTATTAGAAATTTATATTTTAATAATTTGACTTCATAAAGAACATAAAGAATTTTAAGATTTTAAATTATTATATGTGAGGAAGGTTATTAAAAATTACTGTAAAAATAATTAGAAATTTGGATTATTGTTTAAATATTTTGAATTATTTTTAAGAGTTTGGAAATTAATTTGAGAATGAAATAACTGTGACTATAAATAGTAATAAAATAATTTTGAATATTACTATAGAAATATGTAATGAAAATTTTACTTTTGAGAGTTAGTATAAAAATATAAAAACTGTAATAATATTGAATTTATTATAATCAGATAATAATTGTATGCAAAGATAGCATATTCAAGATAAACTCCCCTATTGCGAAAAATTACTGATTTTTCATGTTTAATTATTATTACAATTTTATATATAATGGGGTGAGGTTTTAATTTTTTAATGTAATAGAATTTTTAGCTTAGTTCAAAAAAGCCATTTGCCTTATGCAACTAACGGAGGCCTTTGTAAGTAACTGTCGAGCATTTACATCCGTTAATGTGGATTTGCCCAAAAGATGGATATGTTTGTATTTGGAGAACGCTGTGGGGTCTTCTAGTTTCTGTAAAATAAGAAACTTAGAAATGCACTAATAATGATATAAACCATTATTTCAGTAAATGATGTTAAAGTACAAGTTATAATAACAAAAAAGAGTTACGTTATAAAAGTTTGTTGTTGTGATTGTTAAAAATAAGTAATGGGTGCATAAAATTCTTATATTTCTGATATTGTGTGAAAGGTTTTGAAAAACCTTCTCTGAACAATTATGAGTATGAAGACTCTGAACCTTATTGTGACAAAGTACTCTCAGATTTAATTCTCTCTCAATCTAGCTTATAAAGTTTTTTTTTATAAATTATTATTGTCGAGTGATGTAAAATTCTTATTCGCTAAGTCTGTAAGACGTAACTTGAAGATACAAGCTATTAATTTTAATCCAAATTTATTTCAATTATTTAATACTGAAGAATTTTATGGCCATAAATCATAATTAATAACTTTGATACATTTATAGGTATTGTGAACAAGGAACAGAATTTTTTTTGTTACTTGCCATTGTATTTAAGAATCGTATAGCTATCAGCAAGTAGTTACAAGCTATCTGTCTCAAGCTATCAACAAGCAGTTACGCTCATTCGCTTATGAGGGCATGCTCATTTTTATCAAAATTTATTTTGACGTTGCATTATATTTTGTTTTTCTATGTTATTAATTTCTAAAGTGCCTTTTACATTGCTTTACAATAAGAAATTATGAATAATTTTATATTCAGTGAATAACTGAATAATATATATAGTATAATAATTTATGGAATTTCACGGATATGTAAAAGAAAACTTTTGGCTTTATATCAAATAGAAAAGTTTTACAAAAGACTTTCAAAAGAATCAAAAATCTCATTATGATATTCAAGCAAGGATTCCAAGACTGAACTTTTACAATTATTTCTTAAAAAAATTAGGACAGTCATTACAGTATTTTCAGAGAAAATGAACTTTCATACCTTAAAAATTGGACAGAAAATGTCAATAGAACTCTACACTTGCATTTATTATTAAAAATGTTATATACAAAATTTCTTTCATTAAATAATTATTTAGATTAAAAAGTTTATAATTTTTTCCACGATTATAGTTATCTTCACTCGCTAAACCTCTAATGCCTTCTTCTAAAAAGCCTTTCCTATCGCCAAGCCTTTTTCTCATCGAAGGTAGGGAGATATGTAAAATATAAAATATTAAAGAAAATTATTAATTTTAATTTGGAAATAGTGCTTCTTATTCCCCATTTTAATTTAGATATCTCCTTTTTCTGTCTTAAAAGTATAAAGTGTTTATAACATTATAAGAATTTTTCTGGACTGCATCTTTCCAAAGTAATTCATTTCATGCTTGCTTACGTAATTCTGCAATGAGGATAGCTCTTAACTTTTAACTATATTACACGCTTCTTAAATGCGCATTCCCTTTTTTTCTACTTCGCCTTGCTGCTACTTAAATGTTAGTTTAGCTTCTGCTGTCCATCTAAATAAATGTAAGATATATCAAACTGGTCGGGGGTGGGCACATCTCACCTCTAAGATGATGTGGGAAGAGTGAGTACGTATTGCAAGAATGAACCCTGCAGAAGTAAATTGCGTAATATTTTCGGCCACGTCTACTTCGGGTATCTTAAAGAAGCATTTTTTTTTTTTTTTTTTTTTTTTTTTTTTTTTGTTGTAACATACAGAGAGCTAAATACTTCTAGAGTTGCATATGGTCCATTTTACTGTCGTTCTTAAAAACTTCCAAAAGGAAAACAAGTGAAATCTTTTAATCATTATCACCGCTTTTTTCTGTACAGCATATTTTGCAGTTTGAACCATCACAAGGTTAAATAAATAGGAACTGGCAAAACGTGTTTACTTTCAATTAAATATGTATCTTTATAAATTTGTTATAAATCAAGCCGCAATCGTTCTTATTTTACTTGTAGGCTCCGTAGCTTGCAAAGAATCTTATAAATTAAGCTAGAAAAAGTATAGAACACCAATAGGCACTTTATTGCAAAGATAAGATTGTAAACCAGAATAGGAAAGATATGTATTCATACAACGTTAATCAAACATGTTATTTGACAGAAAAATTAAGCGAAGAATACGTTATCAATTCTCGCTTTCAGCCAGATGGTTATTTCACGCTTTAAAAAACAGTCAATTGAAAGCAAAGCGATATGAATTATTTACTTACACAAAGCATATTAAAAGTAACTTTATTCGCTCTGTTCGCATCGGGAAATAAAAGAGTTCCTGGTCTTAATCAATTTACTTTCGCACGCGAATATCCACTTATTAACCGACGATAAGCCAATTAAGGGGCAGAAATTATAACATTCGAAGCAAAGAACAAAGAAGTTACTGTTTTCGAAAGATTCACAGATTGCAGAAGACAGGGAAAGCGTAAAGCGTATGGACGTAAAAATATTTTTTATTGAACACCAACCAGAGATATGAAATGCTTTCCGATTGTTGCAGATATCTATTTGTAATTGCTGTTTGGCAACGGTTAGCCGAAGAAAAGCCTGTTCAGAGGTAAAATGGCGCTGAGCAGAATGCGAGCTGTTAATTGTCTTGTACATTGGATAGTATATCCGAGCAAATTTATAAAATATGCGTATTAACTGAATGTTGGTATATTCTTTGAAAACCGGGATAAAAGAAGCAGAAATTTACGGTAAAGGAGCTTTTACAAACCTAAAAGGTTCTTTCATTCTATAATGTAGAACGTTTTTATTTATTTAATTATTTTGAAATGAAGTTTGGGTATTTAATAAGCCCCACTATTATCAGCAAAACGGAAGTTATACATTCCAACCAGTTGACTCAACTGCGATACCTATGTAAAAGATATAAATTCTATTGAGCTAATTTGTAGAAATAAATAAAGGTTATTTTAAATTTAGAAGATTATTTAATGAAAAATGGGCTTGTCTTACGAATTTTGGATATTATGAAAGAGATTAATTTTGCAAAAGACAAGAATAATCATCCCCTTTTTTCTAATTTCGTTCATTTTGATACTTTAAAAGTTTAGTAACAATTAATAGTATAGTAACAATTAATAGCTTAAATATTTCAAAGGTAAACGTAATTAATCATTACAGTTAATTATCATTAAAGAAATAAGTTCGCATTTAATAAGAGAATTGCATTTCACCATAAATATTAAGAATCTATAAGATGAAATTAAGATTAATACTGATTGTAATTTAAGTAGTAATGTTTTGTGTAATTATAACATCTTTTTTCACTACGAATTTTAAAATTCGCATATCTTCTTTCCATATGAAGAAAGGAATTGTATCAAATTTGAATTAATTTATTTATTTGGTAACAATTTAAGCGAACTTTTTCTTAATGCAACTAAAATTTTTTAACCATTCTTAAGCATGCGCTGCAAATTATTTGAACCATCCTACTGAATAGAATAAGTACAACAAAGTACGCGCTATTCGTGTGCTCTAAGTAAACTTCGTCTAATTCAGATATTAATTGTGAAATTTTTGTTTATACTAAAATATAAGGGCTAAAAGAACGAGTAATCAGGACTGAAGAGAATTTTTTTTCCCCTAGTTGTCTCAAATGCAATGTAAAGCTGCCACGTTTCAGAAAATGAGTTTGACAATAAGTACCAGTGTTTAGAAAATTTATAATCGCACAAGTTATATTTCGCACAAGGTGCCATGCACAAGAGACCAGCAGGCTGTGCAATATATATATATATATATATATATATATATATATATATATATATATATATATATATTATATATATATTTTAATCCAATG